CTCTCCCCTCCATCGCCGTGGTCGGAGGACAGGTAACGCTTCTTCTGTCCATTTCTCTCTCTCTCTCTAAAACCTCTGCAAAACCTCTAAAACCTCGATCACTTTCTCTGCCTTAAAATCTATTTTTTTTATTGCAGAGCTCGGGGAAGTCGTCGGTTCTGGAGAGCATCGTGGGGAGAGATTTTCTCCCGAGGGGGTCTGGTTAGTGTTTCTTTCGATTTGATGCTTCTTGATGGCACGATTGTAATTTTTCTTTTTCTGATTTTGATTTTTGGTGTTGCGAAGGGATTGTGACGAGGAGGCCGTTGGTGCTTCAGCTGCACAAGACGGAGGGTCAGGGAGACGATTATGCGGAGTTTCTGCACTTGCCAAGGAGGAAATTCACTGATTTTGGTAAATAATTTTGAGTTGGTTCGTCACTTTTCGTGGATTTGCATATAGAAAATAGATGTTTGGGCATTCTAATAATATAGTAAAAGGAATTTGGGCTTCCATTGTGATTTATAGCTCACGTTTGATCTAAATGATATAGGGTTTAAAGATATCCCTTCACTTAAATTAATAAATACATCTTTGGCATTATGATATTGTGGTTTATTATATGGGTTTAGAGAAGTAAAAGCTTTGTTACATATCGTAGAGGGTGATTCTTTTTAATGGTCATACTTCTTTTTTATTGCAGCTCTTGTGCGCAAGGAAATCCAAGATGAAACTGACAGAATTACAGGGAAAAGCAAACAAATTTCCCCAATTCCAATCCATCTGAGCATTTACTCGTCAAATGGTACGGAATGGGTTACGTATTTCCTTTTTCATTCCTTTTTTTCTTGACTGATACAAGTTTCGGTGTTTCATGTGTTTGCTATTCAAATTAGATTAGCAATAAAATTTTATTGGTGGCAGAAGTCTTTCTATTAAATATGATGTAGCTAAACGTTTACATAGATGTAGGGGTTGAAGATATTATGTCTTGATGCATTTGGACACCGGAACTCTGTCTATTGACACTACTTGGTTGATTTTGCAGTTGTAAACCTGACATTGATTGATCTGCCTGGTTTGACAAAGGTTGCCATAGGTATAGATACGAAATTTCTTCATTTTCTTCCATGTTTTATGCTACAAATCTTCATCTCTAGTTCCTAATATATGTATGTGTGTTTTCTTCAGAGGGACAGCCAGATAGTATTGTGGAGGATATTGAAGATATGGTTCGGTCTTATGTTGAAAAGGTATTTAGCTGTGAAGATTTTTATTACATCATCTACAGTGAAAGTTTTGCATTGCTCAACTTGTCCTAATAAATAACAATTTACTTATTCCTCTAAAAAGACCTGCTTTCGTCTGGAACACTCACATAAGCGCGTCTACTTGAATATACCAATGTTACTGTCTTTTGTTGTGAGTCCTTGCCCTTTTCTGTAGTTGTGATAATCATTTTTTTTCCTAATTCATTGTATCTTGTTTATTTTACAGCCTAATTGCGTTATACTGGCAATATCTCCAGCTAATCAAGATATTGCAACTTCCGATGCGATAAAGCTTGCTAGGGAAGTTGATCCAACAGGTACGTTTGCAGTACAATATAAATCAGGTTCTTCATGATGATATTTATTTACTGTGGTAATGACTAGTAAGAAATCTTAGTACCAAGACCATACTGGTACTGTTGCTAATGTGTCGAACATCGGGTCCGTAAGCCAATGTTGATGTTTAAATCTTTACCAATTTAATATTCATTTCACAACCTATTGAAATATCCTCTCCTTTTATGATCAAATATGAAATATTTTTCTTAATTATTAATAGGGGAGAGGACAATTGGAGTTTTGACGAAGCTAGATCTCATGGACAAGGGAACAAATGCTCTAGACGTAAGTCTGTTTTCCTTCCCATAGTTGAAAATAGTTGGAATTGGAATGGTGAATTAATTATTTGTTTGTTTATGCCTGTCTTTTATGTTTTGTTTTGTGTTGGTTTTGAACTATTTCAACCTTTATATACATTCCAAAGTTTCCTCTTCATTTATGATCTTTCTTTCAGGTTCTCGAAGGAAGGTCTTACCGTTTACAACATCCTTGGGTTGGAGTAGTAAATCGCTCGCAAGCAGATATAAATAAGAATGTTGACATGCTTGCAGCCAGGAGAAGGGAGAGGGAGTATTTTGAATCTAGTCCAGATTATTCACATTTAGCAAGTAAAATGGGTTCCGAATATCTTGCCAAAGTTCTTTCGAAGGTAACATATTTTGTAACTTAATATTATTAGAATAATCGTAGATTAGGGAATTGGAAATTCTATTAGTCTGATGGTTTTGAATGATTTCAGCATCTGGAGAATGTTATCAAGGCACGAATTCCCAGTATCACATCTTTGATTAATAAAAATATTGATGAACTTGAATCAGAGATGGAACAGATTGGTAGGCCAATTTCTGTTGATTCAGGGGTAAGACATTTATCTTGTTCTTATATTCTAAACTAGGAGTAATGCTAATTGTTTCTTGGGGAATCACATGATCTGCTGTTTCTGTGCATCCTCAGGCTCAATTGTACACCATATTGGAACTGTGCCGTGCTTTTGATCGAATATTTAAAGAGCATCTAGATGGAGGGTAATGTACTCAATAATTTTTTTTTCTCTTCAGTGGTCTGTAAAGCTCTTTCTTTCTCCCTTTTGATTCACAAGCATACATAAATTGTGTGCATGTCTTTATTTGTCTGTAGTGCTTAGTTGAGAGTACGAAGTCCATGTACCGTGGTTCAATAGTTGTATATTCTCCATTTAAATATGAATATTGCTAAACATCCATTTTCTATTGTGTTCGTTCTTTGTCTCTGGTGACAGGCTAAACTATTTTTTCAAAATTTTAAAATGAACTTTTTTATATGAATAATAACGTATGTTCTTTGGTGTATAAATTTTACTTTCAGACTTAATCCCTTGATTGTAGGATTACATCTTAACTGTTATAGTTGGTTATGCTTTCTTTGTCAGGAGTTTCGCATGTTGACTTCATTTTGCTTTTTGGTCTATTGTTGCAGGCGATCTGGAGGTGACATGATTTATGGAGTTTTTGACAATCAACTTCCAGCTGCTTTCAAGAAGCTTCCACTTGATCGGCATCTGTCTCTGCAGAATGTGAAGAAAGTTGTTTCTCAAGCTGATGGTTATCAGCCCCATCTAATTGCGCCTGAGCAAGGTTACCGTCGCCTAATTGAAAGCGCTCTAGGATACTTCAGAGGCCCAGCTGAAGCAACTGTAGATGCTGTAAGTCACCTCGTCTTAGTTTCTGCATTATCAAACAAACAAAACTTCTGGGGATTTACAGTTACCACTCTTCTTTGTGTTCACTATCACAATTTAGCTCAGTGAAATTGTTACCTGCAAGAGATTGGGAACTTCAATGAGCTCAAAATTTAAACCTTTTAGCATCTCCGTATTTACATCCCCATAATCTTTATAGAAATTTGTCGTGGTGTTGATATTCTGAGTATTTCCAGGTTCATGGGATTCTGAAGCAATTGGTAAGGAAGTCAATTGGAGAGACCCAGGTGATAAAACTTCTAGTGGCAGAAAATATGCTGAACCATTTTCTCTCTGAATGGAAGCCTCATTGCATTTCTCTCTTGTTAACAGGAACTGAGAAGATTTCCAACTCTTCAAGCTGAGTTATCCGCTGCTACATCAGAGGCCTTAGAAAGATTCCGTGAAGAGAGCAAGAAGTCAGCACTTCGGCTAGTGGACATGGAGGCATCCTATTTAACTGCGGATTTCTTCAGAAAACTCCCACAGGAGATGGAGAGGGCAGGTAATCCTGAGGCACCGACTATAGATCGCTACAGCGAGGCCCATTTCAGAAGGATAGGATCCAATGTCTCTTCGTATATCAGTATGGTATCTGAAACACTCAAGAACTCCATCCCAAAGGCGGCTGTTTATTGCCAGGTTCGCGAGGCTAAGCAGTCTTTGCTCAATCACTTCTATACTCAACTCGGAAAGAAAGAGGTACTATTGTTTACCTCCTTCTTTATTTTAGGATGTAACCACCATAAACATTTAGCTGATTTGCATAAAAGTACCATACTTCGTTTGATTAGATAAAAGTAACACAAACTTTGTCACAGAACTACCCTAACTGACAGAAGCTGTTAGAGCATCTCCAACAGCTTCCCCATCTTCTTGAAATACTCAAATTTGGAGAATATAGAGCTTTTTTTTGGTCCAACAGAATCCCCATCCCATTCCCCAAAATAGGGAAGGAGGAGAAAAAATAGGGAGCCTTCCCCAAATCTGCAGCATTCTCCAAATTTTTGGGGAGAGCTTTATTATTGTAATAAATGCGATTTTTCAAAATGGGGAAGCTGTTGGAGTTGGAGCAAAAATAATTTGGAGAATATGACTTTTGTTTCTCCATTTTGGAGAAAATTTTGGGGAAGCTGTTGGAGATGCTCTTAGGTGGCACGTGATGCATACACACATGACATATTTTGAATATTTTGTTTTTATTCAGTCTGAATAACTCTTCTCTCATCGTCTTCCCACTTCTCAACTATTATGATCTTATACCCTTTGACAACACTGTTGTGATAGTTTCTGACAGTATGTGATATTTTCTTTGCGGATTTGAAAGTTTGTCATACTTTTCTACAATAAAAAAAATTGTTTTCTGGTGGTTTTGTAAAAGCCGCCTAATTGTTCAGGATAATTTTATGGAGTTTCATGAAAATTTTTATAATAACCAAAATTTGAAATTTCTGCGCAGGCCCATCAGCTGGTGCACCTGTTGGACGAGGATCCCGCGCTGATGGAGCGAAGGCAGCAGTGTCATAAGAGGCTTGAATTGTACAAGTCAGCGAGGGAAGAGATCGAATCTGTTTCGTGGAACTGATGAAATTCTTTGTTTTACCCTGTAGTGTGTATATAGATTGGAGTCACAGAAAGTGGTAGCACATCTTGCAGACATTTTGATTCTTCCTTCAGTGCTGGCTTTTTCTTGATGCAACGTGTTTGCATCGCCGGTTATAGAACTGACTGATTAGTAGACACTTATATGTTCATATAAATAGCAATACTTTGTACGTCACGTTTAACTCGTTGAGTCACCCTTGGTATGCTTTCCTTCTGGACGAATGGATTATTTGTTCATGTATATATGTAATCACTTGACTGAGGCTCTGGCAGTTAAAAAGGTTGGTGAAATGTGCATTAGCTTGATATGAAGATTGGCTGAGCGCCTGAAAATTCTGGCAATTTTCCTTATTCTCCTTTCCCCAGATGTTGAATTTCATTTTAATGCCAATATATTAGTTGAAAAAAAAAGGGGAACTCGCTAAATTCTCAAATGCTGGAAACCATACCGACGTTCGTTTCCGGAGGAGGGGGGTTGCAGCCTTGCAGGGGACGAGTCGGGTTTGGGTATGTGTATAAGGCCCGATATTCAATCATGGACCCGAATCCAACTGGAGCGGGTTCAGGAATTTCGTTCCGAAACAAAAGCCCGACCCGAAACGTCTAAACCCTCGCGTCCTCCCTATCTCCCTTCCATTTGTTATATTTGGAGCGCTCGTTCTTCGGATATCGTCACCCCTCCCTTTAACATGAGGACCTCACCGCTGTGGAGTCAATGGCGACTTCCTCTCCCAACGCATGCGTTACAATCTCGAAGTAAGAAAGGGAAGGAAGCTCTCGATTCCCTTTGGTTTTCTCTCGGTCATTTCGTCAAACACCTGGCTTGCACTGTTTCAATCGCGCCCCCATAATTTCTGGTGTTTAGTTTTTTTTTTAAAATTAGATACTTTGTGATGCGGTTTCCATTTCAGTGATGCGAGCGCGGCGCGGTTCTTCTCGAGCGTCGATGTCAGTCTCCGCTGAAACTCGCGGTGATAAGCATCATGCTGGCACCGGGGTATGTGTTTTATTTTATTTTATTTTATAAAATATGATGTTATGGATGTTTGAGTATCCTGTGCTCGATTATATGGTTGTGAATTTGTTGTGTTTATATTGCATCCTTTCCATTTTCTGAGTTTTAGTTGTTCCCTCATTAGTCATTAGGCATGAGGCTGAAGTGTAGGAAATACAAGATGTTTGCATCTTTCTTTGGATTAGAGCTACTTTATTATGCTAGAAAGGGGACGTGGAAAAAAGATATTGGGCACACATCTCTAAGGAAACTAAATGTTTGTCCTGTAATAATTTGGCATACAGGAGAAATCTTTGCCAAAACGCGAAACTGGAGCCTTTCAGAAGCTACCCATGGTGATGCCCTCCATCGATATACTCTCTTCAGCAAAAAGAAAAGCTAGGAATGTCACTCCTACAAAAGGCAGTCACTTATGGAATCATTTATGTCACAGTTTTAAATATTTATTATTCCTTGAAAATTTCCTCGACATTTAGATATTGTTATCGCCTTTCAACAAATATGGTCATGGATCTGCTGATATACTTCTTTTTAACTGTATAGGCATTGCAAACATTGCAAAACGAGAGAGAAACAAAGCCGCCAAACACCTTGATGCATTAATGAAAGTAAGTTTTAATTGCTACCTCCTTGTCTAGATTGGAAGCGTGAGATATCTTTATGATGCTGATATAACTGCTGCATATATAACTTGTCCACTGACGCAATTTTCACACCGATTTACAGGAGCTAGCTGTACCTTTGAGAGAATACAAGGAAAACTTCCCTAAAAAACAATTTTTACATCCATATGAACGAGCTCTTATTGAGTTAACTTTTGGGGAGGGTAAATATGAACAGGTCTGTTATTATCTTTTCTTTGAAACCTTTTTAGGATATTCCTGTACTTGCAGTAGTCTATGGGCTAGCATTGTACTTCTCTTGGAAATCACTGGTTGTTGCAAAACAGAAACCTCATTTTTATTCTTGATAGTTAGTAGACTTTTAATCTGACCTACACACCTCTTATTCTCTTAACTTTGTACAAGTACTTCGAACAAATCACTAATTTATCCCAAACCTCCTACGGGCCAAATAGCACATAATAAACTTAAACCAACTCAAATATAAGTTGTTTAACCATTTTACTATCACAATATATTATCTTTTCTTATTTAAATGTAAGTCAATGCTAATACTTAAAGCCAAGTAGGAGATGAACATCCTAATTCCTATTAAATTGTGAGAACATTATATTCATCTTCCATATTCTTAGTGAGTATAATGTCACACACCATATAGACATGTAGTAATAGAAGCCTTTAAAATCCCTCAGACATGTCATTATATAATAACTTCACTTTTGTCTAAACCAATGTTTTAAATATCGCCCGATAAACCGATATTATTGGCGATTTATCGGTTTTAGGGGCCTTCCGCTATGATAAGTTCGATTTTAAATTGGTCATTGTTTTTGGATGTTTATTGCCGATAATGTGGCGATAACGTAAGTTATCAGCCGATATTGTCAGCCCAAAAATCGGAATTATCAGCCTTTGGTTTGAGTTTTGATTTCGGGCAATGGACACCTATTCAGTGCACTTTAAACTTGACCCGACCCGAGTTTCTACCATTGATTAGTGATGCTAAACATAATTATTTACATTTTAGTATGTCTATATTTCATGAAGTATGGTTAGATTATATTTTAGATTATTATATTATGTATATCACCATCCGGTAATATCACTTCGATAAATACTACTTATCCCCGATATATCCCCACATATCCGCTATCAAATATGGATTTTGACCATCCGATAAATCCCAATAACCGATATATAAAACCTTGCTTTGAACCATTTCAGTAGTTTGTTCTATCGCCAGGCTACTGTTGTTATATTCAATCCTATTTTAAGCTTATTTTCTTAATGATTTTTCTGTGGCTTAACAGGTATTAGGAAGAGTAGACTCTCTCAGAAAGAAAGTTCTATTTGTCGGAAAGCAGCATGCATCACTCTGTGCTCAGGTTAGATGAAAACCAATTATCTCATATAAATGTAACCAACAATGTTTAAATCCCAACAACGCTAAAATATGACATATGTTAAAACGTGATAGATAAATGTAATCAACAATAATTCTTGTTTTCCATATATTTGGATAAATAGTGGTTCCTTCCAAATATTCAAAATAATGCATGCATAATACGAAATAAATACATACAAAGCATGTTGCAGAATGAAAAAACATCAATGGGTTATTGTTCTCCATGTATTTGGATAGATTGCGGTTCCTTTTAAATAATTGAAATGTACATTCACAAATTGAATTTGATAATACTGTCACTATATTACTATTTTCTGTAGGTCTGGAACTCAAGGCTCTTTTCAAATGAAAATGAAGTAATGCATGTTACCAGTTACATAGCATTATGATATAAATTTTATCCCATAGATATGAAGCTCAAGGCGCATTCATGATTAGCCAAATAAAACATAATAACAGTATCACTATTCAGTTTCCCATGGTTTGAGCTTAAACTTCGTTTGAAGAAATAAACTAACTTGGAATTTCTTAAACTTTAGCTTCATTATGCTTTTTTGCGTCTTACGATTTATCAAAAAGTTGTGATCAAGTGCTTAATTCTTCAATTTTTTTTAACTTCCCGATAAGAGGTCCAGATTTTCATTCAGGTTGGATATTTAACCTTTACAGTCTCAGACAAAGCGGGAAGCAGAAGAACGGCTAAATGAGGTAATTTTAACACACAACAAACTTTAATGCATAACAAACTCCTATGACACCAAAGGTTGTTGGCATATGCATATACCTTTTTGTTCTTGTTTCTCTTCAACTAAATTTGCCATGAGCACTCTGTTGATGTGAAGGGTTTAAAGAAGGTTGAGGAAGTTTTCCAACTTGAAAGGAAGGCCGTTGAAGATTTGATATATGTCGCGAAGGTGTCATATCTTGTATTTTTCCTTTCAAATTTATTTAATGGCTATTAGATGTGAGCATAAATGCGATCAACAACTTTTTAAGAAAATGAAAACATCAATATTTTTTTGAGTTTCCATATAGTGTTTCATGGTTTTTCTTTTTGTTATTATATTCCAGTGCAAATTATTGCTCTCATGTTTGTGATGTCTTCCATTTTATCTGTTTTCTCTTAGTTTTTGTCTCTTTCTCTTGTCTAGGCATTCTTAGTGAAGAATACTTAATTTGTAGTTTAATTTGATAAAAATATGTCAAATGCTTCTTCCTAACTGTACTTAATGGTGCTCTAGATGCTGCTGACTAGCTTTGTTTGTCTATATACATAATATGTAGTTCAACTGGATAATGTATTAAATCTCTGATGGTACTTAATGTTCTATATTTTGATTGCCAGTTCCAATCCAGAGTAAAAAGTGGGTGAGCTAGGCACAGAGTACTGACTTTGTGTCGATTCCATAATATTTTCACAGTGCTTATTGAACTTCCACATATTCAATAGTTGGAATGCCAAACAGTCCAGTGGCCCACAAAGCAAAAATAGTAAAGAACAACCTTCTTTTGTTCTTTCTTGTTGTCACTATGCCACTGCTATGTGGAATTCTAATAAATAAGTGTTTTTTCTCTTACTGACAATTAATTTTTAGTTTATATTTATATGTATATATACTGTTTATGATGTGGTAATTTGAGCTAGGTTGGTTCCTGGTTTCTTGCAGATGTTGCGTGCTATGCCGGTGGTAGATCCAGAAACACCAACACTTTGTCTTGTTGGGGCACCCAACGTTGGGAAATCTTCACTGGTCCGTATACTCTCAACAGGGAAACCAGAGGTGTGCTTCTGTCTCTAAGCAGCTATCTGATTTACCTAGTTAACTGTAAAGTTCTACCAAGTGATCACAAAAGTGCAATCTTTTGAATCTTTCTAGGCCTATATTTACATGCTAACTTAAAATTTATAACGGTTCTGACTTCCCGGATCGAGACTGCTCCATTCATTTTGAATCTTCCTAGGCCTATCTTTTGTGGTACTCATGAAATTTTTCATAAGAGTAAATTCTAAATTCACTTTGTGCTGACTATAAGAACTGCATTCTGTGCTTCCTGTTGTAGTATTGATCACAAAAGTCCAAGGCCTTCTTCAAGTTATGGTTGCTATGGGATGACTATTAGATTTTATACATTCTGCCTGTTTTGGTCTTTTTTGTTTGTATCTGTAGGCTATCTAAAAATTACTACAGATAGCTGATCCTTATCAAACACCAATGATGGAAGTTACAACCTGACGACTTTCACGTCAACAGACGAATGCTACAATCTGAAAACTTTCACGTAGATCGATAAAGATTACAATCTGATGACCTTCACAACAAGCGATGAAAGCTCTATTTCAATAGCCTTCACAATCAACATCGGGAGTTATAATCTGATGACTCATATTTTCAAGGGGCCAAGACGAAGGTTACAAGATGACGATCTTTGCAAACGCTCTAGCAAAAGAGACTACAAATTGACGATCTCTTCAAATCAAAACGCAGATATTTCTCAAACCATAAGGAATTTGACAAAACGGATGGGAGTAAACCGAACCCTTAGGGTAGGAGTTTGGTCGGCTCCGTCTCGTCGAGATAGTCGAATTTCATATATAATTTGTCCAATTCTGATTTACGGTTTGAAAGTTATGACTTGTTCTTCGTAGCAAGTTATGTTCTGAAGCCCGTTTGCAAGAATGGGCTTCGCCTGAACATTGAACTTCGCCTGAAGCTCGCCAAGCTCGTCTGAGACTCGCCTCTGCGTTCCAGAGTCAAGATGCAGAGTTCATTTCTGCGTCCCAACAACAAAACGCAGGGTTTATCGCTACGTTCCGGATCCAAACACAGGGTTCATTGCTGTGTTCCAGACTCAAAACACATAGTTCGTGTCTGTGTTTCAGACTCAAAACGCAGAGTTCTTGGCTGCGTTTCAGACTCAAAACGCAAAACGCAGAGTTCGTGGTTGCGTTCCAAACTCAAAATGCAGAATTCGTGGCTGCGTTCCAGACTCAAAACGCAGAGCTCATTGCTGCGTTTTCAGGCTCAAATGCAGAGCCCAACTCTGCGTCCTAGGTCCAGAACGCAGAGTTCGTGCCAGAACACGGATTTTTGCGTTTGACTGGTTCAAACAAAACCTGAACGATTTTAAAATTGTTTTTTCATTTAATGGGGGCAGTTACACCCCATAAGCTCTCATTAAGGAGAGATTTAAGGGGGCGGTTACACCCCATAAACCCTTATTAAGGAGCAAATCAAGGGGGCGATTACACCCCTTAATCTCCTATAAATAGCTAAAAATTTAGCTTAATGGGAATTGGGTTCTTTAGAGTTTTTGGAGAATTGAGATCGGCACAAGGCTTCTTGGCAGAAGGAAGATCTCGGCAATCTTCAGACCCTCGGAGTTATTCTTGGAGCTTTCATCAACCTTGACTTTCAAACCGATTTTCGGTTAAATCAATCAACTCTTCCATAGAGTTATAACTCGCTCAGAGTTCTCTAACTCGTTAGAGTTTCAAACTTGCCACGCAAGTTCGTCCAAGACTTCGAGTCAAGAGGCGAAGACAACGTTCCACGAGGTGAAGCGTTCGGATCGTCAACGGAAAACAAACTCGACGTAAGCATTCGAGGGAGGCATTCCATCGACACTAAGAAGAACCCAGTTTTAAACAAAAGGAATGATCTCCGTCGATCCTTCTCTCTTTTGTAAATCGGGAAACCAATCGAGAAGATTGTAATTTTTTTTTTCTAAGTGTGTTAGAGAGATATTGCATTGAGAGAATTGTAATCCATTTTTTTTAAGTCCGTTAGAGAGAATACTACAAATCCAATTCTCCATTTTTTTTCTATCAATATTCCCACCAAACAATATCATGCATTAGAAGTTTGTGATTAACTCCCTTGAGATTACTATTTTGAAGTGAGAAACATGATTCTAGTTCATACACTCTCAACACATTCTAGCAAGGTGTTAATTGTTCTTGCAATATTCCATCCTTCTCATATACAAAACATTGCTGTTATTGTAACGCTCACGTATAATATATATTTTTTCAGGTCTGCAACTACCCTTTCACGACTAGAGGAATTCTGATGGGTCATATTGTTATAAACTATGAGCGTTTTCAGGTTAGATCACAAAAGGTCTCTTGTTTATTTTTATTATCGTAATTTTTTATTTTTATTTTTTTGAAATTACTTGCGTCTCGAAGATGAATAGTTCTACTGCAGGTTACTGACACTCCAGGTCTTCTCACGAGACATGATGGTATGTCATTTAAGTAACCATGTTGTATGCTGTTCATCAATTTTTAGTTGCATTTTGGCATCTTAGGGAACATAATGCTACTTATGCATTTCTTCTATTTTGCTGGTGAGCTGATATTTTCCCCACCTTTTCTTTCCTGTTTTCTTATAAGAGATGAGTGTTCTTTTAAATTGCATCATACTAATGACAAGGTTTTTTTTCATGAAAACAGCCTTTAAAATAGGTAGAATCGATAGAAACCATATACGAAGTCTTTTTTATACATAATCAACCACCTTTCGTCAAATTCTGCTCGACTAAGGTATAAATTACCCAAATTACCTTCATTAATTACACGTGTAATTGGGAGACACGTGTTAGGCACATGTAATTATTGAAGCCAGTTTGCGTATTTTTGCGCATTAAGTGATTAGAAGTTGACAAAAATGGTTGATAGAAAACTAAAGCCACTTATAAGGTGGTTTCCCTATTAGAATAAACTTTAAAGGTGGTTTCTATCGATTCAATCTATTTTAAAGGCGGTTTTCATGAAAAGACTCTAATGACAAATCTGAACATGAAAATAACCATGGCTTTGGATACTGGTTTGTTCAAATAGCTTCTATGGCCATAATCTTTATAATGCTTGTGAATGGAAGAAATTTTCATTATGCAAAAGCATTTTTTGAGTTAGAACTTTGCAATATTTGTGTTTTTTTTTAAATTTCAATTATACATCTTGAACAACTGTTGAAAGTAGAGATGGAGAATTAATTATCTTTCCATTGTTCTGCTGCACCCAGACGACAGGAACAATCTAGAAAGATTAACACTGGCTGTCCTGACTCATTTACCAACTGCTGTTCTGTATGTTCATGATCTCACTGGAGAATGCGGGACTTCACCTGCAGATCAGGTTTGCCAATATTTTTCCTTGCATATGTTTTGAAGCTTTAGAACTAAGGCAAGAGATCCATCAGTATCCTTTCTTTAAATATACCCCTATTTAATGATTTTGGTTGATGTGCAAAATGCTTGTCATCTTGTGCTGAAAGTAATATACACTCACTTAAAGTTGAAAACACCCAGGATTTGGGAAAGTTAATGTCCTATATCTCTATGTTGGCTTTGCCTGGTTAGCTTCTTTATTTCCAAATTAGGAAAAATTACTTAGCAATTTATTTTAAAGGGTAAAATTGCTAGAACATAGAATATTATTTCACTATAGTAGCTATTGTGATTTGCTTGTACTTATGCATATCCATTATACAGAAATCTAATACTAAACCAACAAAAAAGTAGTTATCATCTTATAAAAGTTGTGGTATTAGATCAGAGAAATTCATTTTTTTTTTCTCCTTTCACTTTTATTCATTTTTTTATTATATATTTTGATCACTTGCGCAGTTCATCACATACAAGGAGATAAAGGAAAGATTTCTAGGTCACCTCTGGGTTGATGTTGTTTCTAAGTGTGATCTACTGCAAGATCCCCTGAGCAGTTTTACAGCAGATGATCTAGAAAGGTACAAAAATTTAGGACCAGATGGAGCCATTCGTGTCTCAGTAAAGAGTGAAGTTGGTATCAGTGAGGTTGGTGCTAAAATATGTCCATTTTTTTATTTATCACTTTCAGTAGAATGGCATAATTTTCGCCAGCAACAAGTCACATTGTAAAGATAGAACTCAAGCCTATATAATTCACCTTGTTGTTTCAGCTGAAAGATAAAGTTCATGACCTGCTACTCTCCCAGATGGCTAGGGTCAAAGGGGAAGAGATCAAACGGGCATGCTAGTAGGTCCACATACAGTCTCTGTCATATCTAGATTTGGTATTATGTTGAACTATTTGTTGAGGATAGGAGATGCACTTGGGAACATTTTCATGGTGGATTAACGATCAGAAGGCTCAGGATTAAAGTTCATGACCTGCACTTATCGTTTCCTTTATGGTTGATACCGTCGAATCTGTCTTCCACCACTTCTTTAGCGAACAAGCTACAGTCTACTTCCATCAGCATCACTTCTGTGGCTCGCCATGACAGTACCTTTCACCAAGCAAGTTTATTCCCGTGAACTATCTCAAGGATTCCTTTGGCTCCACACACCTTTTAGTTTAGATGTGCTTATACTGCAAAAAAGATGTTGTTTTCTATCCTAAACCAAGATTTTGATGTGATCTATTACAAGGTTCTTAGTATTATTTGAGGAACTTAGCTTGTCTAGAATTGTTCCATTGATTGATGAATGTACTAGTAAATTTGTTCGCGCTTTCTGACACAGCATATTATGTTCCTTGTTACATCATCTTCGAATTCGAGAGGACCCAACTCCTCTTTAAATATTTATCTGATGATTGAAAAGAAACTCATGCTAAAATGTTATTGATGTTGGGAAGAAACTCATAATGGGTAGAGATGAAAGTGCATCAATTTTATATATACCATGCTTGTGTCGCAAATTTCAAATGCTTTCATTTCACTCCAAGTAACCAAATCTCTCTCAGGCGTTTTGTCAAACAGCTCCCATTCGACCTCGAAGTAACCAAATCAAACTCATGGGCAAGAATCCGAAACAATTCTGCCCACATCGCGGAAGCAGTAGTTCATATGAATTATTGAGTTCAGAACCTCCTTCAAATCCTCTTCAAACCTAGAAGATTTGTGGAGCTGAGGAGCTTTTTTCTTAAAAGGGTGAAAGAGGGATTGCAGACGGCTGATCTCGGCTTAATTAAGTGCTATTTAAAAATTTCCAAAAAAAAAAAAAAAAAAAAAAAATTGTTCCTTTAATTTGTTTATTGAAAATTCTAGGTCTCCGTTTGAATTTTGCAACCTCAGCTCTTCTGCGGAAGCAAACAAATCAGATCACTTTCCAGGTTCCATTTTCTCTCCTCCTCTTCTTGTTTTGAACAGTCCGCTATGCTTTATCTGATAAATTTCAAAAAAAAAAAAAAAAAAAAAACTTTGTTCCTTTAATTTGTTTATTGAAAATTCTAGGTCTCCGTTTGAATTTTGCAACCTCAGCTCTTCTGCGGAAGCAAACAAATCAGATCACTTTCCAGGTTCCATTTTCTCTCCTCCTCTTCTTGTTTTGAACAGTCCGCTATGCTTTATCTGATTGGACATTATAACTGTTACCAAGAATTTGAAGTCATTAGCCTCTCTTGATATCGCCATTGTGGAAGAATTTAATGTGGTTATGATGAAAATCATGAAGTTACTGATGTTAACAGAGTACCAGAGGGTATTATATATGAAAGAAAAATGCTTGAGGAATTACCGCAAAGAAAATTATCTCATTTAGTTATTAACACTATGCTAGATTTTAAAGCTAACCCTTGTCGGCTAAACCTTTCCCCACCAAAACAGTGTCATCATAGAGCATGGCCACTAACTGAAAGTAGATTTCTTGCTTTAAGCAGGTCTTGTTCCAGAGGCTGCCAGGGCCCCTCATATTGAAAATTATTGGAGGCTGCATCTCATTGGAAAAACTGCAGCTGAGATATTAGATTTTGCTTCGGATAGTGACAGAAGTTCTAGAGTAACAAATCCAGCCTTTTATTTTCCAGTTTTTATAACAGGGTGATCTCCGTAAATTTGAGCTAAATTTTTTTTTGCAATGTTGCGAGCTTTGGGAATCTTTGGGTTGGTTACGGGCCAAGGAGAGCTTTCTGAAATGATTTAGCAGTTCTTCATTCAGATAGCTAATGATGGTATGATTCTGATTAGCGTATGATTAGTTATGTCTCTTTTCACTTTCATCAAAAGGGAAATAAAGGCTCGTAGCCTTTTCCCTTGTTGTTTCTTAGATCCTGCTTTTTCCTGCTCTTACGTGGTCGGCTGTTTGCTGTGGATCTGCATCAAAAGTCTCTGGTTTAATCTCTACAGTGATGGCCGGTTCAATAATTTCCCTCCAAGAAATGTCAGGAGTCATGACTTCCAGAAAATTATTCGTACTTTACGTGAAGATATTGCTCATGATCGCCAACATACATTGATGGGCCCTCTTAAAAAGGCATTCGGATTAGAGGTGCTTCTTACTCCCTTCCTTATGTAGAACTCATGATAATTTACTTTCTTCCTCTTCACAATTTTCAACTGATTGGATTGACGAAAGCCATTTATTTGGAGACAAGAATGCGAAACTGATCTTTCGAACTTTTCTTTTTATGGAACCTTCCCCCTTGTTTGACTTGACGATTCAACCTCAGCCACTGCATTAGTCTCAACTGTGTGGCAATTTTATTCCAATTGCAGTTGGAGCCTCTTCCAAAAGTTACTATCTAAGATTTTAGATTCTTTCGGATAAGAAGTAGGATGACAACTGGGAATGAGAATATAAACAAGGGTGGCACTAGGGGCACACCCCCAACCACATCCCAAACCACACCCATTCTCTCATATGCTACAGTATACCGGGCCCCCCATGAGATTTTAAAATTTTAAAATCTCATGTGGGGCCCGGTGTGATGTGGTTGGGAGTGTGTCCCTATCATTTTTCCATAAACAATTATGGATTACAGCTGTTATACTTTTTATACAAATTCTGTCTGGTAACAGAGTTCAAATTACACAAGCTCAGTAGCATCACCATCATATTCTGAGTATGCATACAATCACGCAATACGTTGTGGAGACCACGGGCTTCCCATAACCAGATTTTTTTTTTTTTGCTGAGGAGCCTAATACCTTGTGTTTAGCGCTACCGGTGGGTTCAAAAGACCACTGTTGACAATCTGTTCCAATCTTTCTTCTTCCTTCTCCCTCATCTTCTTCACTAATCAGGCCCTACAAACCTTCTCTCTTCTCTTCTCTCTGACCTCCAATAAATTCCGTCTTCTATCGCCTCTTTCAAACACACATAAGCATAGCATCAAGCCATTACCTCCAAAAAAATCTCTATCGCCACCCACCCACCCAATATTGGCACGTATGATTTTCAGCCAGTCATCATGATCTAACGTCATGGATATCGTCTTCTCAGACAATTTAAAGTTTGGACCAAGTGGGAGGAAATGGAGAGCATTTTGTTGGACAACTTTCCTTGTTGAAAGGGATGCTTTGCTTTGAAGTAGACAGGAAAGTATATGATGGGTTGGTTTTAATAGTAAAGTGTTTTGGTCAGTGTTGTGGTTCTCGTTTTCGAGTGCAAGGACAATGGAGGGACATCTCCTGGAGCAAGTTGGTACTTTTTAAAAATTCCCTGTTCATCTACACCACATGTTTTCTTTTACCTTCGATCTTTTTTGGCATTGCATTGCTTTTTTCCTTGAATCTAAAGCAACCTGTAATCTGTCCTCGTGGTTTATAACTGTCGAGGGCTCTTGATAAGAGCATATGACTGCTTAGTAATAATTGTGGTGCGTGGAATTTAGAAGGCGTGTTGACAATGAAGAGTAGAAGAGGAAAGCATGCAGAGGTAGATTTCTTCTACTGATTCCAAGTTATTTGTGAAGTTATCCATAGAATTTCATATGCCAATCAAATTTATTGTCTCTTTTGCTTCACTAGCCCTTTTGGCCCTCCACTGTAATGAGGAAGTGGCTCAACATTAAGCCTAAGGTGCATGAGTTCAGCGAAGATGAAGCTGACACAGAGAGCGAGGATGAAGGTTTGATCAAATATCTCAGTCTGATGTTAGTTGGCATTTTTATGTGGTCTGAAACTAATTTGTCCTATTTTTTTCTCCTTTTTCTTCCCAAGACACAAGCAATAATATAGCTGAGATGTCCTTTACAACAGTGGGGAGTCAAGTTACATACACATCTCAAGCATCAGGTATTGACAAAATCTATCTTCATGATGTAATATAAGATATGCTCTTTTCACTATTGCTATTTTATTTTATGATCTTGGCATTAAACAGATGCTTGAAATGAGTTAAAATTCTTTTTCGTTGCACAAATTTGCTGTATAGACTGATCCAGTAGTTAGTGTCTAGTTAGGTCTTCCATGTATATGTTAAACCACTTGGCAAAACACTACATTGTACTGCAAAATTTCTCATTCTCCCTTACTAATTAGAAATCTACAGCTAATTTTGTACGCTGCTTGTGTCCAGTCGCCATCATTGATTGTTAGTATAAAAGCTAATTTCTTTTATCTGAGGCAAATATTTTTTTTCCTTCTTAGAGAAAAGTTCTTAAATTCTTGATATCTCAGGGTCAGAAATTTCGTTACGAGTATAAAGGAGGTCTTGGGTGGTTCTCCTTTAGTTGGAAATCATGTTAACCTCTTTCTTGATATAGGGACATCTGATTTTTGAACATTGCTCCTTTGGGTACATGAACTTATTTTGCCTGATCAGAAAAGGCAAATGTCTACCTGTCAGTGGTCCAGGTTTTATCTCACATCTTGCTAAATTGCCTCCTAAGGAGAAGTTTGGCACGAATTCATATGTAGTATTATGTTGCCAGCTGTTATATGATAGGCAAATTCGCAAGCGCACGGACTCATTGTAGCTATCAAGGTCGATCCCATAGGGACTAAGGGTTAATTACCAAATTTCACGTTATTTGACTAGCTAAACCGACGAGTAAAATAGAAGAGATTAAATTTGCGAGATTAAATAAAAGAAATAAAATAAACAACTAATCGGGTGGAATTCAATATAATGAAGGGTCAGGATTGGGTTTTCACCACAACTTCGGTGCTCAATGATGAATTATTTCAATTCTCGGTGTTGGTTTAAACTAGAAATGGTGAATTAGCCTAAATTAATCTGAAGCCTCTTTCAAGGTCTAAATATCATGCCTAATTAATCTCAATTAAACTACTTTCGTGGAATCAAGATTAAATTAAACCCATCAAGCTTTATGCTAATCCAAATCAAATCCCTAAGGAATCTAGCCTACTTTCGTGGTTTGAAATGCATGCTTAATTTCTAGAAGTTCGGTATTAATTTTCACCTTTCAGTCCTTCAATTAATTACCTATGATTGCTAATCCGATGATCAAGTGAACCAAAAAAATTAATTCACAAGAAATTAAGTTTAAAGATCTAAACTTTCACCAAGAACATATATTAATCCATCATCAATTACCAAAAAGTTTGGTTCTTTCTCAATCCTAGACAAGGAATCTACTCACACATGATTGGGATAAGAGAATACATCAAATAAATATGAAAATCAATCATAAGAAGAAATTAATTAAAGAGAGGAAAGAATTAACCCGTCTATCAATTAAAATCTTCAAAATATAGACTTGCAATCCAATCTTGTACAAGAAATTTGTGTCTTCCTTCAATACTTAAACTCTAAAATAGATGCTAATTAACGGTTAAGAGAACAAGAACCAAAGATCCTAAACCCTAAGCTAAAATAAATATTTATAGGTCCCCAAAAAATCTAAAAAAGATAAAGCCCGAACCACGGGTGTGGTGCGCATCACACCAGGGTATGGTGGAATCTGTCTCGCTCATTTTGTGCTTGTTCGTACAGTTTTTGGTATTTTAGCTATAACTTCTTCGTCTGACTTCGGAATGAGGTGATTCAAGTTGTGTTGGAAAGCTGTTAACGAGATCTATAACTTTTATCTTTTGAGCTTTTTCGGATTCGAACTGCATCATGGTCAAAATTCCAGTTCTTCATACTCATGCATCCATTTCCTTCTCGAGCCATGCATTCTAAATCTCGTTGTTGCTTCAAACTCTTGTTTAACTTCTAACGATCATCGAATCTTTTAATCTTGAGCCAATACCTGCATATAAAAATACAAACCACAGCAGTATCCTTGATCTAAACACGAAATATGCATCAAACACCCATAAATCATGCTTGAAACATACTAAGATAATGCATATTTTACGTGTTTATCAACTCCCCTAAGCTTAAACTTTTGCTTGTCCTTAAGCAAATAAATAATAAAAAATAAGAGGAGTGAAAGCCAAATAGAATAGGGATCACCCCCTCATCAATCCTTTAACCAATATCAAACATATCACAAAACAAACACGTTTCATCGGGACTTAAGAAAATAATTTCAAAACTCTCACAAAATCATATTTCAAACTTTGCTTACGATCACAAACGTCACAAGTCAAGGATAGCTATCCTATCCAATTCTCAAGTCAAAGTAGGAAAAAGTAATCTATGTAACTAGCTTCAATCCAGAAGCACTAAAATCGAGACCTTCAGGTAGTTAAATGGGTAGACCTCACTTTAGGGTATGTAGACTCTCAATCTCTCATGTGTTTAAGGATAGGATTATGTCGCTCAAAATTCTTCCGAATGGATGTATTCAATCCATAAGCTTGCATTTCATCTCAATTCTATACCACTTCGAAAACTAATGCATGCAAAAAAATCATGAGGTCTTTTATTTGGTTGTAACGGGGCTAGGGTCAAAAGGGTAGGATAAATATTTGGGATTGTAGCTGAAAGCCTATCATTAGTGGAACGATAATTGCAAAAGATTAGATCTCAAAGTAAGATCAATGACATCCACACAAACTCCATCATCTATTAAAGAACTTCTTCTAACTACTCCATTTAGTACGTCATAATGAATTCTTTCGACACCCGTAATTACATACACCATAAAGAGGACACTTTATTCATCTTTTTTTTTTAATTTTATTTTTTGTTTTTTGAATTAAATGAAAAGGAGAAAACCAAACACCTCCTTTCACACCCCAAGCTTACACCACATTACTCATTTAACCCATTATATCAGAAATTGTGCTCCACTAGCTTAGGCATGGGTAAGGAATACAATCGGGTTTAAAAGTTACATATGTGGGTTAAATCAACAATAATTAGGCTCATAGGCTTAAAGGGGCTAATCAAAGGGAACAATAGCGCATGGTAGGCTGTTTGGCTAATGTGGACTATGAACAAAAATGTGCCTCAATCACCTTTTATGCATACAAAAGTTATATGTGATCTCGAAGAGATTCAATGCAAGTTCTAGTATCCTACATCATTGGAGAATATCACACAAGAAAAGAAAATCATTCAATGCAAGTTCTAGTATCCTACATCATTGGAGAATATCACACAAGAAAAGAAAATCATGATTGGATATGTAATGCATCCTCTAGTATCCTACATCATTGGAGAATATCACACAAGAAAAGAAAATCATGATTGGATATGTAATGCATCTAATTCTAGGCTCAAGGTCTCACCGGTTTTATTTGTCTATCAAATTTAATTCCCCTCTTGTCTTAATAGAGCAATGGTCATGATGCTAGCCACATAAATGCTAAATCCTATAAGATGAGAACTTCAAGTCTGGTTCTCTCATATTGTTAACTTGCAATCAAAAGCCTTTGATAATCAGTTGAAAGGTGGTTTAAAAAATTGTCTAGTCCTGACTAATAAGCATCTATCTAGTTCAATGATTTATAAAGATTAAGGATTCATGTCATCATCAGGAGATCATTTCCCTATTTCTCTTTTTTTTAAAGTTTTTTTTTTGTTTTTTAAGAGAGGAAACAAAGCAATGAAAAACGAAAAAAAGCAAAGAAAAATGAAAATAAAACAAAAATAGGCAATCATGATCAGTCAATCAATACATAAACAACCCACACCCCCAAACTTAAGATCTACATTATCCCCAATGTAGTAAGATGTAATTTGTAAGGGTACAGGGGACATACCAACTCACTGGTCAAAAGGAGGTGGGGTGGAGGCATCCTGGTGGAGCTGTCACTCATGAATAGACTGCATCATGCGGTGTATAGAGTCCAGGAGTTGTCCTTGACGTTGTTGCTCTTGCTCGATGGCACATACACGGTTAGTAAGGAAGGCAAGATAAATATTCATAGCTGAAAACTCCGCTGACCAATCAGAGTGGTGGGAAGATCTAGCTCCCCTATCAGGTTGAGCCTGAATAGGGATCAAGGGTACTATGTCAGCATCCTCAGCTGGCACAACCTCGTGACCATCACAATTTATAAAATCAGATGTAAGGTAACACCAATTTGCGTGAACATGGATGGTCGTGCAATCAGGATCAGGGAGTGGGAAAAGATAATTTTCCTAAAAACATAACCATAACACATTGCCCTTATGGCTAATCAATTTCATATGAAAAGCATCGAGGTTAATGGGCGCACTAGGGCTTAAAGGATTAAGTCCCTCTACGAGCTCCCCTAAACCCATCCCGTAAGCTAAAGTGGAAATCAAACCACCAAACACAAATTTTCCACTCGTTACTCTCGCTGCACGGCACATATGATGAATCATAAAAGCTCATGTATCAACCTTGTGTCCCTCGACCATGGCACATAAGAGGTAGAGTTCTCTCTGACACATGACTCCATCGCTCTCGCCTCGACCAAAAATTATGAAAGTCATGAACCTCTGTAAATATCTAAAGCATGGGTTATAAACAGCAGAGGCCCTTGACATTAAGGGATCATAGTTCTTTGAGTGGTAGAGCGTGCGATGAAAGTTCAAAAGGGGGTCAAGTTAAAATGTTTAGGGGCAATTCTAGCCCCACCCTCCGGAAAACCAAATATCTCATTTAATTGTGCTAATATAAATGTGTGGGACTGGTTAAATAGCCGGAAAGTGATTTTTTTCTTCTTTTACTCCCTCACCATTAAACAAAACAGCATCAAGAGAACTCAAAAACTCGAGAATAATATGTTCGTACCTGGAATGTTTAGCTTCTACAAAATTTATCCAACCAACCCGTTTTAGGAGATATGAAACATCTTCCCACAGTTCTAACTCATGCAAACAAGTCTCATCCAAATAGCGGGCACTCAGAATTCCCCGCTTAACCAGTGCATTATACTTAGATTGTTGCTGTGTATCGACAAATTCT